AGTTCCTTCTGTCTCTTCTTAGAAAAATGTCTTCAGTCTTGTCCTTCCTGGATTCCAAAGTGATTGATAAATGACTACAGAGAGAACAACTCAGAGCAAAGAACACAGACATAAAATGGAGGCAGAGATGCCAGGCTTTTCTCCTGCTTTCAGTTAATTTGTGGTCCCAAGTAAGGAGTCAATGCTTTTCAGCAAAAGCAGTTTAGGTACCTGATAGAGGCTGCTTGGTAGGGCTATCCCACTTCTCTGATTCACTATCCTGGCCTTCTAGAACTCTTCTACCTCACCTTTCTCTTGCCTTTCTTCCGATGTCTTTTCAAATTATACCTGTGAGAGGCATTGCTTACATGCCTTCAAAGAAGCAACACCCCATCCTCATCCTTCTGTCACTCTCATTGTGAGTTTCACTGTAACACTTATTACCATCTAAGTTATTTTTGCTTATATTTGTTGATTGATTTGGTGTCAGCCTTTCCCTACCTGGAACATATTTCTTAAAGAGGACCTGGTAAAAGAATAAATACATGACGAATACTTAATTTTGAAACACATTGCTATAAACTTTAGATCAGATATCTCTTTTTGCCAAATTTGTCTGCTGACAGAATGTTAGTGAGCTTCCAACTTCTCATCTTGAGTGAAAATTTATGTTCCAAGATCTATGTGGGTATAGCAGTTATTACCCAGAAGAGAAATGTGCTGTGCCTCTTTCTGTAAGCACCATTGACAATCAGTGATATGCCCCAGGGAGATCTGTCTGCACAGGGTCTCATTGTCATTCCTCTTTCAAATTACTGTTTCAGAAAATATTATTGTGCTCTGTATGCCTGAGCAGCCAATGTTTTTGTTTCATGCCAAGCTCAGTTGCCACTAGGACACTGCTATAATAATGTCACAACTGGTGACACTATACTTGTGGGATTGGTTCAGATAGTCAAGATCTCTCTGCTGCCTGATAGCATTAAGCAGGTTATTTCCACTAGAAACTGTCTCCAGAACAGGACTATTGGGAAAATGATCTAGACATTATTTTGAGTGAGTTGAACTTGATAAGGTGTGTGGTGGTGTGGCTTGATGAACAACTCCAGGTATTGGGCTCCTCCCTACGTCCACACTTGTCAGTGCTACCCTCTTTCTGACTTGGATCTTGGCACTGTAACTTGCTCAGGTCTATGGGGCAAGCAAAGGTATGAAAATGCACTTGTGTGTTTCTACTTTCTTTGTCTTGGACCCCCTTTTTCACGATCATGTGTATGGGCCAGCCTGCTGAAGGCATGTGGACACCACTTGAAGGACAGCCAAGTCACTCCAGTCAGGGCCATCCCAGATGGTGAAACTGTCAGGCCCCACTATGGTTGAGTGAGTCCAGCTGACATTCACCAAGTCCAGCCCACATTGTAGAACCATCCCAGCAACCTGTGGACTGGTGAGGAATGGTATGGGAAAGGCGGCTATTTCAGGCCATTGAGGATGAGGTTCTGATACTGCAGCAGCAAAGCAAGCCATAGGGCGAGCAGAGCACAATCTTTGCAGCCTACTCTCTGGAATATCTGTTTTTTGGATAAAAATTCAAGGCTGAGATATAGGGTAGGGAGATTTCCTATTCACATTTGAATTCAAACAATAGGAAAATATCTCTGCTTAGCTAATAAAATGTATTAATCAAAACACAAAACTTTACTAGCAATGGAAGCTTCTCTTTTCTCCTGGCTGAGAACCTGAGGCAGGACATGGGGGCCTGTGGTAGGGGAGACAGATGTGCTTGGATTCTTTCTCCTTGTTGGCCTCCTGCCTTGGTTCAGCAGGGACTGGGATTGGGAGTTAAAAACAAAGACCTATGGGGCACGTACACTTCTGTCTACACTCCAGGGCTTGTGGGCCCTGCCCTAGTAGCTTTTCTAACATGTTTGCTCTGTCTTGGAATCCTTCTGAGTGCTTTATGGCCCCTCTCTCACCAGGAACCTCCAGCCTAATCCTCATAATATGGGCAATGCTTTTTATTTATTTGTTTGTTTTTATTTATTTTTCAGTGCTAGGGATGAAATCCTTGCATATGCTAGACAAGTGCTCTGCCACTAAGCCTCACCCCCAGTTCCTTCTTTTATTTTTAAGACACATTTTCATACATAACATATGCAGAAGTTGAATAGTAAACACACTCTGAACACATACACTGTATGTCTACCCCTCAAGACCAAGAACTCAAACCCCAGGAATAGAGTTGCTGGCTGGGCATCCATTTTTCTGGTGCTAGAGATCAAACCCAGGGCCTTGCATTGCTCAGAAGATGCTACACCTCTAAACTACATCCTGTCCCCTGACAGGTTTGGAAACCCAATTGTACCTTATCCTCTTTGGCTTGGTTAAAACTTCCCCTCCCTGTACAGGTGTTTGTGATTGCTTGTTGATTGTCTCTCTGACCCAAAACCCAGCCTAACAAGACAAACCTCTGGTCAACATCAGAGTCATGTAAATGAGTGCCCTCTTGACACCATGTGTTTTCTTTTACTATTTTTTAGGGTAGCGGGGGAGTGGAGAAGGCAGTACTGGGGTTTGAACTCAGGGCCTTGTGTTTGCTAGGCAGGTGCTTTACCACTAGAGCCATGTCTCCAGCCCTTTATGCTTTAGTTATTTTTCAGATAGGGTTTTGTGTTTTGCCTGGGGACTGACCTCAGATCACCATCCACCTTCTGATGTCTCCCTCCTAGCTGGGATTACATGTATAAACCATCATGTCTGGCTTATTGATTGAGATGAGGTCTCATTAACTTTTGTCCAGGCCAGCTTGCACTCAATCCTCCTACCCATGCTTCCAGAGTAGCTAGAATTATAGGCAGGCACCACAATGCCCAGAATAACTTGTGTTTTCTTTAAAGTAGCCAATTCATAGTCCCATGAGAAAACCTAAGGCATAGCCCACAGATGCTCTCTTCCTCACTTGAGCTCCTACTACCACCACACTTTCCATCTGTCAAACAAAATGTCATTTGAGATCATCTGTAACCTCTGTAGGTTCTGTAAATAATACATTTCTTTGTGTATTGGTTTTACCTCCTCATTGTGCCTCACACAAACCTAACTCTCCCCTCCCATTTCAGAGAGCTCCTAGAGAGTGGCTATATGGACTCTCTCAAGAGAGTTGGCTTATAGACACTCAAGACCAAATTAGAAGGGAATTATAACAATAAAAATCACAGCAGCAGCTGGGTGTGGTCACACCTACAATCCCACCTAGTAGGGAGGTAGACATACAAGAATCCCAAGTTGAGGCCAGCCTGGGAAAAAGTTAGGGAGACTCTATCTCTAAAACAAAATACAAAACCAAAGGGCTGGGGGTATGGCTCAAGAGGTACAGTGCTTGCCTAGCATTTGTGAGGCCCTGAGTTCAACTCCCAGTATTGAAAAAAGAAAATCATAATAGTTAAGGCTAGGAATATAGCTCAGTGGTAGAGAGCATGCCTAGTATGCACTGGGCCCTGTGTTTGATCCCCAACATCACACACACACACACACACACACACACACACACACACTCGCACACACACGCACACACACACTCACTCACACACACACTCACAACAGTTCCAACCCCCATCCCTCCTCCCAGTTATTTATCCACCCTCATCCCCCATCCTAGCTTCTAGCCCTACAACTAAACAATCAAAGCTGCTTTCTTTGATAAACCTGGGCATTCAAGGACAGAATGCCCAGAATAACCTCTGCTAGCTCTTAGCTAATCAGTTTACCCCAAAATATGCAAACAAAACTCACAGTTTCCAGTCTTATAAATCCTGTTGTTGCTTTTGTTCCATGACTCAGGCTACCAACTGTCTGTTTATGCAGGGCAAAAAAAGGACATGCAAAGCTCCTGAAGAAGGACCAATGGCTCTGAGCTATTTTTACCAAGAACTACTCCTTCCAGATAGTTGAAGAAGTGAGATGATCTAGAAAATGTAGTTGTAAAGGGCTCTACCAAATAATGACTTTTTAAGCCATAAAGATAAACAATTCTTTGCATTTTTGGGGGGGAAGGACAGGGTCTCTACATAGCTCAGACTGGCCTAGAACTCAAAACCATCATGCCTCAGCTTCCCAAGTGCTGGGATGCCTGGTTCAAGATGAATAATTCTTAGTGAATCTAGACTCAGACAGTTCCTAAGTTTCTTCAAAATTTCTAAGCATTTAGGGAAATTAAATTCATTTTGTAGATAAGTGTAGTTCCTTGTATATGTGATAGACATGAAATTTCATACATTTCATATGTAATATGAGATCAGTAAAATTTTTCTTTCCATATACCAGAAGTCATGTTAAGCATGATTTTTAAAATTCCTTTTAAAATCATAATCAGTTACATAAATATGGATCAGTGCACCAATGATCTATTTTTAGTTTCAACATTTTTAGGATTTGGCTTCAAAAAGAGAAATAAAATGTGGTTCATCAGGACATCAGCATTTGTTGCAGATATTTTTGCATTTGAACTTCCACTTCACTGTAAAAAAAATAAATAAATAAAACTGGGATAGTGAACCAAAGCCCTTTAATGTACTAGTGAACCAGTGTAATGGGGATGGAATTTAATTTTTTTCTGCTCCTCATTACTGGAGGGGATCTTTCTACAAACTCTGTTTTGATTGGGTCACTACCGATGGGAAGAAAAATATTACAATTGGGATTTTACTGTTTGCATTCTTTGAACTTTATGTTTCTCTGGAGACTTAACATTTCTTGCTTCCAATGAGACTTCTCAAACTTCTCTTCTGTTACATCCTTAAATAGAAATATACAGAAAGATCAAGAAGCAAAGCAACAGAGGCAAAAATTTATTCTTCAAATCAGTTTATAGTTTGATCAAAACCAATTCCTTGAAATACATATAAACAAAAACCATTACATCTACTATATACATAAAATCTTTCTTATCAACACAAAAGCTTTAGTATTTAAATATTTAGTATTATTTTTTAAGAATGCAAGTCTATCCATTTCTTCTACCCCTATTCAAACAAACCATCTTGCATACTAGCATTGCTTTCGCTGAAACAGGTATTCTCAGAGCTTTGGGGGACATCTGATATGTGAATCACAAATCTTTGTCCATCTTGTAGTGTTATGAGGGCTTCTTGTCCCACAGGAAGGCTGAGTTTAAAGGTGCTTTCGGTGGCCTTGTCTTCCAACAATACCTGGATGAACTGCAAGGAGAAAATGTTGAAAACATTAAAAAGAAAAGGTTATACAATTCCTTGTTTCAGGAACCAAAATTCGAGTTTATCTACCACATCTTTTGCCCCTACTTGGGGGCCTAAACAGGAAGTTTATTCATTCATCCAACTAGGGGAGATCCTAATTTCTCAAGGGAATGCTCAAAGTCTGGTGAGGATTTCATGGGAGGAATTGAAATCCAGGATGACGAAAGTGAGGAGGAGACATGGGGCTCCTTTTAGGAAAAGGAGCTGGGGGTGGGGGAAAGCAGTCTTTGAGAAACATTCTGGATACCTTGTGAAAGCAAAAACCAACATTCTTCTCAGATTGCTGGGGCCATGGATCAGTTGTGGGCATTAGGAGGGAGGCTACGAAATGGGCTGCGGAGCTCCCATGGCTGAAGTACCCATGACTATCTGCTTTCCAGACGGACATGAATTCCTGCATTCTTGTCAGTCTTTGGAGCTGCCACGGTCCACTCAAGTGCCCACACAGGCCCTCCCTCCACCATCCATCCAGTATACTATTAGATGGGGTGTGTATGTGTGTGTGAAAACAGTCATCTGAGTCCACTTGAATAGACTCTTGTTAGTAATAACTCATTTGGTAGTCACCTTTTTCTTAACCTGTCAGAGCAAGGCTTCCCATCAGAGGAAGAGGGACACTGTGCCATGCTTTCCTTAGCTCTAGGGAACTTGGAAGACTTGCAAAGCTTTGGACATGGCTACTTTATAACTAACAGAAATGTATTTTTCTGCTAATACATTTTGACAAAGATGTGCATCTAACATCAACTCATGTCAGATACACGATTCATGAAAGTATGTTTCTTTCTTCAAATTCAACAATAACCCCCAACACACAGTGAGAAGATGTTTTTTTTCTCTCTCTCTCTCATTTTTGCTCTGCTGAAATCCATGTAGTTTTTCCTTTTAGAAGAATATTCCTTATTTAATATCATTAAAATATTTTGCTTTATTCTTAAACAGGCCTAGGCAGCTTACTATTTTGCACATTTCTAGAATGCACAAGTGATAGATGGATGTGGCAATCGGGAATGCTGACTTCGGTTGTTATCATAGGTGTGGGGCAGGGCTAAATTGTTCCAAGAGTGAGGCTGTCACAGATGTGCAGTGCATGGGGCATTAGCTCATGGCAGATGAATGCAGATGGGACACAGAGGGGGTGCTTTTTTGTTGATGACGAGTGCAAATGGTGAATGATGAATGCAATGAAAATTAGACAAGCGTAACTTTTTGGTGTTAGCTTGTTTATGTCATTATAGCAAATTCAGCAGGCATGAAGGAACAGAAGTGGGTTTAATTACTCTCTAATGCATATTACCTTGGATTATCTGGCATTCATCTGCTTGTATTGCTTTTATTATGTAGTTCAATTAAGCATTTAATATCTTCTCTATTGTTTCTACCAATTAAATATAGGTCACACCTCATTGTAATGAACTTCAGAGGAGCTGGGGTTGGGTGGAGAATGTTAAGGGAAGGTGCTCAGATTGGAGGTTTTGTTGGAGAAATAATTACCATGTCAAGTGGTTATTGGGGACTTGCTATATTGTAAGGAATTTGTATGCATTTCACAGTGATTCACTTATTTAAACCTCCTAACAGCCCTGTGGAATTAGATAAAATATTATTCTCATGAGTTAAACAATTTGTTCAGGAGTCTCAGTTAATAGGTGTAAGAGCTAGAATTTGAACCCAGGAATTTATGTGCAAGAACTTCCCACTTATCATACTTGAAGATAGTTTTAATTTCCTCCCAAGTCACTGACTTTTGAATTACTCACATTGCAGAATACTCTCCAGGGAGAGAGAGGATGGCAGGAAAGACAGCCTTGGAAGGAGACCTGTGGGGAGTGAATCCCTCTTCTAATTACTAGGGAGGTAACCTTGGAATGTTCTCAACCTCTCTGTGAGCCTCAGTTATGCCACCTGGGAAAGGAGAGTGATGACAGTACCTTTCTCACTGATAAGGGAACTATCAAAAAACAAAAAAAGAATTCTAAACTTGAACCTTGCCTTCCAAGTAAAGATGTAAGGTAACTGTTTGTGCTCCATCTCCACCCCCTTCTAACTATGGCTGAAGAGGTAAAAGTTGGCTCCTAGTTTCCTTGCTGACTAAGGAGCATACCAACTGACAAAAGTTCTCTGTTTGGCCAAAGCTTAGTCTGACTCCTGAACCTTCTTGTAGGCCCATCTGTGATTCCTTATAAAACCCACTTTTAGCAAAGAGCCTTGCTTAGTCAGTCTAATAACAAACTCCTTGATATTTAATCACCATCCATGTCTGCTCATGTTCCTTATCCTCCACCATCCTCAGGAGATGTTTGGTCCCCCTGGCCTATCTTCAGTGAGAATCCTGTCAGGCCGGTTTAACCAGAATTCTCCTGACCCCTGATGTTTCCTCTTGGTCATTTTCCATCCATTGACCCCCTCCACTCCTTGGCTTCCATTCCTCCTCATCCCTGCTGAATTCAAAATTGAGCCTCATTTCTCTATGGTCTGTCTGCAAGACCCTGTTGCAGTGGTCCCTGTACCCATCGTCATGGTCCTGAATAAAGTCTCCGTTTTATGCTTTAACACATGTCATTAGAGACATTTTCTTTTCTTTAACAAATTGTCATGGTACAGTCCATCTTCTTGTTCCACCAGTGAGCCCAGAGAACTTTCTGGTTGGTGAGCATTGTGGCCCAGCATGAATGCCTGTGCTATGGGCTCTACAGACTGCTCTGGAAGAGACTCTGGTGAGCTTGCCAAGGGCTGGCCCTTGAAGGGCTTTGTACTAGGCCTGGGTTCCTTCTCCAGAGAGTCAGGAAGAAGGGAGAATCATTCTCCCAGCACAGCCTAGCCTAGCCAAGGGGTCTCTTCTTTAGAACGAACTGGGTCTCCTTCTGCCAACAGCTCTTAAACACCCACTCATTGAATGGTGTCTTAACTGTTCTCAGCTGTTCCCTTTCTAAGGTGGCTGGTTACCACCTCCACAATGGGTCCTTGACTGGGGGTTAGTATTTCTTATTTCATTGATCATATCTGCTTTATACTCACAGAAAAGATGAGCTCCCCATTCACAAACCACATTGTAACAGGTCTGCTCCTTTGGAGTTCACCTTGGCAGAATTGTGGCCTTTGCCTTTCCACAAGGCTGTTGCCTCTCCCTAATCATTTGGCATCCATTCCCTTTGGCTGACATTCTAAATTCTAAAAAGAAGCCCTACCTGAGCAATTAAGATGTTAACTGTTAAATTTTTCTTTAGATTTAACAGATTTTATGGAACTCAGAATATCTGGTAAACATCAGTATATATAACAACCTGAGCTAGTCTTTAGTTCTATGCATCAACTAACACAAAGCATGTAAATCAGTGTGATGTTTAACTTGAAGAAGGGAATAGGTCTGTCTAAAAAGGACTACAGGAGCTAGCCCCAGAAGGTCAGGGCATTGCAGTGTTCTAGAGAAGAAAAAGGAGACACATGCTCAGAATGTTGAAGACCCCACTCAGCATGTAGACTTATTGCCCTGCTCCTCCTTCCCTCTATATAAAAGTCCTTTGTGCCCCTAAGCCCCCCCCACCAAGGTGGAGCTTTGAGGTCAATAGCCCCTCTATCATCTTAGAGTGCTGGACTAAACCTGACTCCTTCCTTCCTACCAACTCTCACTTCCTGATTGTTGGCCTTCATGTGGTGAGCAGCCCAGTCTCATCCCAGTAATACCTGAATCTACTGCACAGAGGCTGTTGGATGCAGCTAGGTAGATGAATTTCCTATGTGATGATGAAAGAGCAAAGACCAAATACAGAGAGACAGCAGACCATTTGTAAACCTGAGAGCATTTCCTTGGCCCCTGCTTGTACTATTTTGTGTTGCATGCTGTCTCGTCTGAGCAGTGTTCAATAACAGTATATACAGGATCTCCATACTCTGCAGAACTTGAGATGAAGCTTTGTTGGGGAAGGAAAAGTCCCTGGTTCTGATTATTTTAAGGACCACAGGGTGTGAACAGTTTTAGGATGTCATGGTCATTGTTGACTTACACAGGGCAATGTACCTGCTTCTAAGCACAGCTCATCTATTCAAGAGGGGAACTTGTGGGCACAAAGAGAAGACTATGTTTAGTTGCTGAACAACAAGTGTATAGAAGTCTGAGAAATTATACTAAGAAAGTTGCTGTCATTTTTTTTAAAGCCAACCCACTCTCCTACTCCTTAGTGGGGGAGTTTCAGTTGTTTCCTGCATTGGTCCAGCTCTTTTTGCTGGCACATGAGGCACCATCTCTGACCTCTCCAATCAGTGTCCTGCTCTCTCCAACTTAGTGTTGTTTGTCTACACATGGACTAAAATCAGGCAGACAGGGTTCCAATCTCTGTTTCACTACTTCCTTGCATTTGCTTGCTGTATGACTTTATGCAGATCACTTAGCTTCTCTGAGTCCCAATTTCCTTGTCCATCATATGAAAATGATAAGAACAGATACTCTACAAGACTATGGTTTCTAGATAAGATATTAAGGGCATGGAGGGGTTGTTAGATAAATAGCAACTCCTCTATATATTTTAAGAAGTATCTCAGTTCAATTTCATCAATATCCTTTCTATTTAAAGCTTCTTTTTTTTTTTGAATGCTAGCAGCATTTTTAGTGTGTAACATTCTGGGTAGGGGTTAGTGGTGCTCTGTTGCTCAGTCTGGCTATACCAGGTGAACTCTGGGAAGACAAGACTCACCATGCACATACTCCACCCTCTGGCAAAAAGACCTTAAGCAAGGAGGACTGGAGAACCCTTTATTGTTTTTTTTGGAGTGCCATGTAATCTTTATGGGTTTCCAAACCTCTTTGTAGCTCTTATTTCTCTTGAAACAATTGTGATGTTGGGGGAGGGTATCCTGGATCTCTACCTTATTGCCAGTGGCAGTGTCCACATAGAAGCCCAGGACCTGAATGGTCACATTGCTCACACCCACAGAACTGGGGCTCTCGCTCGTGTCTTTCAGTGTTACAGAAGGCAGCTCCATACTTGGGCTTGTACACTCCAGAGTTGGTGAAGAATCTAGGAGGTGGAAAAGGGCCTGGTCTGGCTGGACCAGAGACTGGTCATCTGACATCACATCCCTGAGATTTTCTATATCCTTCTCTTCCTCTTCTTCTTCTTCCTCCTCTATGCATGACTGAAGTATGTGAATCACATATTCCAAAAGCAGCAAGTGAAACAGATGCCAGGAGCCTGTATTTCAATAATGACCAGAAATGAATACATGTGATGGCAGACAGACAGACAGGCAATGGATAAGTCACTGTCAAACTAACTTTTCTGGGACTTTTAGCTCCTGTGTACCAGAGTGTCATACAACTGAACTCAAGGGGTGGGGTGGTTGGGTGGTGGTGGGGCCCACTACTCTTGCAGCAATCCATACCCAGGAACCCAGGACAGTTTTTAGACAGAAAAGACAGAAAGCTAAATAGTCCTCACCACAAGGAGAACTTAAAACCCATCTAGCATGAAGTAGGAGAAAAGCAAATCCTCCAACGGTTGCTGCTCCCACATACTGGATGTGCCCTTTACTCTTCCAGAAAGAAGACCATCCTAAATGTTTGCCTGAGCAACAGAAGGAGGCCAGCCTGCTGCAATTTTTATCAGATAAATTTTAAATGAAGGTAAAACCATGGCTTTATATCATTTAATTTAACTCGTGAATGAATGAGGGAATTAGGAAGATGTTGCAATTGATCAAAATCTGAGTCTAACATTATCTACTCAGTGAACAATGACAGTATTACTTTAGGACAGATGCTCTGAGGATAGTAACCAATCATTTCTGTGAATGAGGATGATTTGTGTGGTTAGAGGTTTGCTACAATTTACAGAGTTGCAAAATAATTCACAGATAGTGAAAGGAAGAGATACTCCAGAAGGGTGTGCTCAACCTTTTCAAGAACCTTTTGTCCACTTCAAGCAATCTTTTTGTTCGCTTCCAACTTTCACAGTTTTTCCCTACCCAAACTTCTTTATTTTTTGGTGAGACACTGCCCCTGTGAGCACTTGATTAACAATGCTTGGCCTATTTAAACTTGTGAAAACCACAGTCCATATGGAGTTTGTAAACTGAGAAAGGCAAAGATAACTACAGGGCTGGATTTTCTTCTGTGATTGCACATGAACTCTGCTCTCTTTGATCTGAAGGACATTAGCATAAAACAGAGTCAGTTTGAACGTCATTAAAGGAAAGGGCCTATTATATATGGGTGTCACCTATATGGCTTAATGTGTAACAGGTGCTTAACAGCTACTTTTGCTGAAAAGCACTGACTCCTTACTTGGGCCCATGAATTAACAAAGAGCAAGGTAAAAGTTAAGAATCCCAGCCTCCATTTTGTATCTGTGTCCTTTGCTCTAAGCCATTTTCTCTGGCCCTATGCAGCCATCTTGGAATCCAAAGACAGGATAGGAGACAAAGGCCACCTGCCAGTAAGCAATGACTCTTCTTGTAACAGGGGCCTTCCTGACCAATACTGAGACAATGAGCTACTAGATTACCTATGACCACCCAAACACAACTGTGACTGAGACTGCTTAAAAATTATTCATGCTTCTTTCCCTGTGTGCAATTCTTCCTTCTATTTAAACCTAAAACAAATGTCTGTATGAGGAAAATGGCTTGAAATGCATGTCTTTCCTCTTCCTGAGGTGTGCCTATGCAGTGTAATTAACCTCCTTTCTCTGCCCTTCACCATTACTCATTTCTTTATTTGGGTGTATTGGGATGAGTGACCAGATCTGATTTATGAAATCCAGGAATTTGGCCAGGGGAGTAAAATCTCCTGTAACAAAAGCAGCAACCCTCAAAAGAGCTCCAGGTGTTTGCTAAACTGATCTATAACAAAGCTTGCCTTCTTCTCCTTGCTCTGTCAATAACTATGAGGGCCCCTGGCAACCCTTTGTGGTAAGGATGACTCGCCCTGACTAGTTGTAAACTTATAGGAGTAGAGACTGTCTTTTCACTGCTGTCTGCCCCGTGCCCAGGAATGCGCCTGGAGCATCACAGGGAAAAAAGAAGTATCAGTTGAGCGAATGATTCATTCCAAGAAGCTGCAAACAATTCTCTCCCTACAACCCTGCTTATGCTGCATCTTTGTCAAAGACACTACTTTCCTTAACAAAGGAAGACTGACTGTTGACCAAGAAATATGCAAAATGCAAAATGTGGTGCTACTTCACTCTCTCTACCATCTGCATACAATGGTGGTCTTATTAAATACTATCTCCAAATGTTAAATATGGGTCCTTGGAATCCTGGAAGGACCAGATAGTAGACAAAGACCACCTGCTAGGCAGCAATGACTCTTACTGTAACAAGGCCCCACCTGATCTTGTTACTTAATCCTGAGGAGCCCATTTTTTCCCATCTCTGCTCTCTCAGTGCTTTTCTCAAAATATCGCAAAGTTTATCACTCAAAAAGGAAAAGCTTCCAACTACAATGGAATGAAAATGTGATGCATAGTTCTTTTTTTTTTGGGTGGACTGTCACCTTGCCACTAATAAAAAAAAATGACTATGGTTTTGTATGATTTTCTGTATCTATGTTGCACATCACATAAAAAAGGTTAAAAGAAGATGAATAGATTCTACAAAGCAATATGCAAAATACTTATGGTACATTAACATTTTAAATTATTTACTTACTTTTTTTCTTTTCAGTGCTAGGCATTGAACCCAGGGCCTTGTACAAGCTAGGCAAGCACTCTACCACTGAGTGACACTCCCCCAGCCCAATAATAAAATTTTTAAAAAGTAGAACACAAAATGTTTTTGTATTCTTTGACTTACCAAAACTATCTCTATGAGAGAGGGTCATAGCTTTGCTCACAGTAGTGAGAAGGAAATTCCATCTTAGCTGGAAGCTGGCGGCCAGTCTGATAAACTCCTCTTTGCTTCGGCTTGGCTGTTACATTTTTGTGAGAAAAAAAAAAGGCTTGGGTTTATGATAATCCAAAAGAATAACATCTTTTCAAATGCACATACTTATCACACACAGCCATTTCTAAAAGGCTAAGGAAGACGAGGCAGCCACAAACAGGTAGCTTGTAAGGTCCTGTGTAAGGGCTTGGTGGACACTGTTGATAAAAGCACTGACTCTTCACTTGAGCCTGCAAGTGCTTAATGGGTTACTACATGCAGGACAGAGCTTGGCATCTCTGCCTTCATTTTGCATCTGTCTCCTGATCTGAATCATTCTTTCCTATGGTCACTTTGGATTTGAGGAATTGCAGGTCCAATACAAGTCTAAGAGATAACATCCCGTGACAAGGTTGAGACTACCCTCAGGCAACAAAAACTTTCTCATTACTAACAAGGCCCTGCCTGGCCAATCTTGAGTAGTAATCAACCGGACCACAACTAGACTGAGACTAATTAATTTTGCATGCTTCTTTCCCCCTTCTGTTTCTTCCCTATATAATCTGGGAGCTCATGTCATGACCCCAAAGACAGGGCTGAGGAGGCTGGTCCCCTTGCCTTTCCAGTACAGCTATGCTGAATAAAGTTCCTTTTCTGTTTTTCACCATTATTTGTTCCATTTGTCTTTTGGGGTGAGTAGCCAGACCTGACTTGTTGCATTCCCCCATAGATAGGGACTATCTCAGGCAACAGTCCCCCTCAGCCCTACAGAGATGGTTGCAGGACAGAGCACTTTGAAATAGGTAGAGGTGAAGTAAGGTGGGAAATTGGGCTACTATTTTCCCCTAATCCTCACTCAATTTTAAAAATGAGGTCACTTTTGAAGTATGTCAAATAAAATTTATGGAAGGCTATTGATTTGGACTGAACACCTGTGTTGGATACTAACAGACCAAAATGAAATGGAGCCATTCATAGTAATTCTGTCACCAGGCACCATGCTGAAACCAAGCTGTTTTTCTGACATTTTGGGGAGAAGAGGGGGGAAGAGGAAGAGAGAGAGAACAACCAATTCTCGAAACAGTCTAGCTTTCCCTGGTTTGATAAGCAATTCAAATCTCTTTTATAAAGAAAGTGCTATGGCTTGGATATGAAGTGTACCCCAAAAAGGCTCTTATATTGAAGGTTTAGTGCCCCTTAGCTGGTGGCACTATTTCTGGGACGTTCTAGAAACTGTAGAAGGTGTGGCCTAACTGGAGGAAGCAGGTCACTAGGTGCTTGTCCTTGGGGGCTGTATCTTCTCCCAGGTCCCTCTCTGTCTCTTTTTTTTCGCTTCCTGGCCACCATGAGGTGAGCAGCCTCTCACATGTGTTCTTGAGCCATGATGTTGTTTCACTGTGGGCTCAGAAGTGGTGCAACCAAGGACCAAAGACAGAACCCTCTGAAACCATGAGCTGAAATAACTCATTTCTACCTCAGGTGGCTTTGTCCCAGAACAAGGCAGTCCAGTATTCAGGGTATGGCTTGTTATTACTGTCATCTTTTAGCAAGATTTATAGTGAGAATTGGGAGCAAAAAAGCAGAGCAGAAAGATTTGAAGAATGTATAGTTTGGCAGAAAAGGAGCATATTTAAAGTACAAAGATGGCACGGTTGTTATCTATCATCTATCTATCTATTTTGTCAATACTGGGGTTTGAACTCAGGGCCTTGTACTTTCTAGGCAAGTGCTACCACTTGAGCCACCTCTCCATCCTTTTTTGCTTTAGTTATTTTTTAAATAAGGTCTCACATTATGCCCTGGCCAGTCTGGACCATGATTCTCCTGTTTATGCTTCCTGCATAGCTGGGATGACAGGTATACACCATCCTCCTTCTTACAATCTCTCACATAGCTGAGAGTTCAGGTAAGTACCACCATGTTTGAGATATTTACTGAGATGGTGTCTTGATAACTTTTTGCTCTGGCTGTCTTTAAACTCTTCTCAGTCTCCACCTCCCAAGTAGCTGGGATTACAGGCATGAACCAGCACACCTGGCCTCAAAGATTTGAAAGTTTTAACTCATTTGAAGGACTCTGCCTTGAGCAGAGAGCTCCAGGGCTTCCTGTTTACACAGGGATTCCTAGGAAAGCCATCCAGTTACTCAGTGGCCACAGCAGCTGAGACCTAGGGGGGCCTGGCTACTTCTTGAATGGGAGGCAGACTTTGGAGTTATTAACATGATGCTGGTTTTTCAGGCATACTGTCATGGAGGCTTCCCCCCAGATTTCAAAGGAAGACCTGGGAGGCCAGGCAATGTGTGGCATGGTCAGAATCTCTGCAGGCAGCCCCTGAGAAGGTGATGTTTGAAGCTGTAAGGGTTGTAACTAAAGATACAATAAAGACCCTGGGAAGTTAGATGCCAGGAATGTGAAATGTCTGCTGCGAAGGCTTCAGGACTCAAGCAGAGTCATCCCAAGAAAAAGGTCTAGGCTGCAACTGATAAGGCCAAGGAGTGGGAGCTGCTCAAACCCTTTGGAACTTGCATCATGTCACCGTATGTCCTGGATGTCAGGCATGGAGATACATGGTTTAATGTTTACCCTTTGGTCCCATCCCTCCTTTCTCTACCCCTATTTTTCCCTTTTGGAATGGAAATGTTTACTCTGTGCCACTGAATCTTAACTTGTTTTTAATTTTATAAGAGCTCACAGGTTAAGACATTGCCTTGAGTCTCAGAAAAGACTTTTGCACTTGGACTTTCGAGCAATGTTGGAACTATGAAGACTATGAGATGACTCATATGTCATGAGATGGACTGAATGCATTTTGCACTACAAGATGCACCTGAGCCTTTTGGAGGCCAAAGGAGGAATGTTATGAAGTATCCCTCCCAAAGGTTCATGTATTGAATACTTGGTCCCCAACTGTTGCACTGTTTTGGGGAGGTTCTGGAAACTTTAAGAGATATGGCCTTGCTGGAGGAAGCAGATATCTAGGTATATTTCATTAGGGGCTGTACCTTGTCCCAGGTCATTCAGTGTCCATTTTCTCTGTTTCCTGTCTATCATGAGGAGAGTAACCTCTGTCATGTGCTCCCACTGCCATAATGTTCTACTTTACCAGATTCAAGAGTCAAGGACTAGGGACTGAACCATTTGAAATTATGAATTAAAATAAATCCTTCCTCTCTTATGGTGTTTTGTTAGGTATTTTATCACAGTGATGAGAAAAGCTAGCACAGAAAGTAACTTGGAAATGACCAATTCAAATTTGGTTCTTTACTTCTGCTTTCTTCAGCTTTTTCCTGTCTATAATCACTACTGTTGTTACAGAGTAAAACTCTCTAAACTTCTCTGGTTCTGGGAGTTGCCCCATTCATGAATTGTTCTTTGCTCAAATTAACACTGTTATTATTGGTTTTTTGCCTGAAAGTTTTCTTTTATCAAGTAGCACAGAGACACTGCTGAGCAATCTCACTGAAGTCTTCTAGAGAAGTACCATGGTGAGTCCAGTGGCTATTTTAGACTAGCTCTTCTACATGCCATGTCTGATTGTGAAAAGGGGGCACAGAATAGATAATAATGAAATGGAAGGGTACTATTTGGGAAGACACAAAGCTGGCCACTAAATATGTAAACCATCTCAGGACTGAAAAGTCCCTGCCCCAGAATCCAGTAGAGCCAAGGTTGTCTGATGGCCTGAGTTGCACTAACCTGGGTACCAGTAAAATGCTGCTACAGTAGACAAAGAAATTTTGTCTAGATCAGGAGCAGTCTTGTGCCACACTTGAAGTGTGGCTATGTGAAATTCAAATGCATATGTTCTATGAATGCCCCAAAGCCTCTTCTAAGCCCCCATCATATGCTAGGTGTACCACTCCCTAGCTGGCAACCACGTGTCTTTGAAAAAGAGATTGAGAGACTTGAAATGACAAAATGCCCTTTCTTGATATTGCTTTTCTTTCCTTCTGAAAACCCCTAACCCTCCAAAGGGCTTCCCTGAGCTTTGGGTGAGTATATACATCCTTCAGTACTAGCACATTTCTTACCATCTGAAATGGAGCTCTGGGGAGGAACTCCTCCCACTGGTGATCAACAAGGGTGGGAGGGGGATGAGGGTTAGGTTGAGAGACAATGAAATTACAAAAACACTTTCTAAAAGCAACGCAGGAAGGATCTCTGGGCAATTAGACCCCTCTGCATAATGTGTGAACACCAGTTATAAACACCTTTGAGCATTCTTCCCATTACCACCATCGGGCCAGAACTGCGAGATATGAGAACAGTGAGAAATACACAACAAAGCTGGTCATTTCCCTTGGCTAGCATACTGCCAGGTACTAAGAATGGAAGCTTTTAGTAATCTCTGACAAGCCCAGGGCTTTGCACTTTAACAGGCTGAGTGTTTTGTTGACAATGTCTGTGTGTGTGTGTGTGTGTGTGTGTGTGTGTGTGTGTGAGTGTGTGTGTGTGTGTGTGTGTGTGTGTGTGTGTGTGTGTGTTATCAGCTAAGCTACATGATGATGGAGATTTGGGAATTACATAGAGTCATATGGTTTACAAGGTAGGACGACCCTGTTGGGCTGCTTTGAGGCTGGATTGGTATTAATGACATCAACTGGCTTATCCTGATTCAAACTGGAGGCTGAGTAAACACCAAATAAGGATCATACCATTGAAAGCTTCTCTTTGTGGTGAGGCTTAAGCCTTCAGTTAATGATGAATAAATGTCCCAGTAGCAATGCAACTCTGAACATGTCACTGCTGTTACAAATGACCTTTGCCTAAGCCCAGTAAGAGGAATAAACACCATACAGAATATGGAATGATTATCTATCAAGAAACAAAGCATGGAAACAGACTCTTGCTGAGGGTTGGACATGGTTTTCTAGCTCCTTCCTGATAAGTGTTCTGTTTCAACTCTAGGAGAATGAAGAACCCTAAGTCTGCTGCAGTTTCTGTGGACTCAGTTATTATTCCCACCCTTTCTTTTGACTGAGAAGTCAGGGACAGGGGAATGGCAGCAAGATGGCCAAAGGCTTAAAGGAGATTGTGCAAGGTCCTTTTGCAGTCCCCAGGCCCTGGGGTATTAGTGCTGGAAAATGTGTTCCTTCCACATGTACAGGCTATCAATGCGAGTCAACTCCCTGTATAGTTGTCCTTATCTCAACCAGCAAAATCCCTTGGTCCTTCCTATTATTGCTTATACTCTCTCTTCAACAAAATTAAAGATAAGGGCATAATAGTTTCTGCTGGGTAGTGAGGGGTAAGGGGGGGCAAGGGAGGGAGCGGGGGCAGGGGGAAGGGGGGAGAAATGACCAAACATTGTATGCACATATGAATAAAAAAAAAAGTGTTCCTTCTTCCCTAAGTAGATGCTCATTTCCTTATATGCTCACTGGTCCACAATCTCCCCTGAACGCCTTGCTTCCCTCTCTCAGCTTTTAATCCTACGTTCCCTTCACATCACAGTTCAAGTCCCACTCCTTCTCCTTGGGGAGACCTAACCTCGGCCTTGGGGAGTGTGATGTGACAGGAGGCACACAGAGGTGGAGGGTGGGGAGCATGGGCTGCCTTGTTTCTGTGTGAGTTTTAGTCCATAGATCTTCTGCCCACTAGGGACCCACTGGAGCAAGGGCTGTGGCTTTGCTCATGGCACTCCCAGCTTATCAAGGCTGACTGCTATCCATGCAGGTGGTGACAATTGAGCCTGGGACCTTAGTGAAGTGACTCCCAAGTGGTACACCAACCAGAAGGGCCAAACTCACCCAGATCCACAACCAAGTCATCTTCGAGGGTTCTTTTTGCTTGTTTGTGCAAGGAATCGAATGCAGGGCCTCACAGTGCTAGACCACAGACCTAAGGCCCCAGTCCATCTCTGAGTTTTTGAAGTCACTTTACTGGAACATTGTGCTCCCCAAACAGACAAATATCTCCTTCCCACAGTCCCCCATGGTGCACACACCCTTAGCACATGCTGGCTCTTTCACACACATGTGTGCACACTCACTTACACACTCATCCACACACATTCTAACACACACCTGCCTACCCAACGCCTGCAAATGCACAATCATGCACACACACCACACACACTCACACCCCACACACCTGCACTACATACATGAATGCCACCCCACATACACACTCACCTGAACATACCAGCTCACACACACACCTCACAGCCCTGATTTTCTGCCTTGCCAAGAAGTGAGGCCACTGCTTCCCTGACCTAACACCCATACCAGCTCAACACACTTCTGATGACAGAGGTTGAGAACATCTCTCTCATATCCCAGGTATGAGCACGGGATTCCTCAGGACCTGACACTCCTTGGTAACACAGAGGATGAGCTCTAAGGCTGATTTCATCATCTCTGTGGTCATCTGTTTCGGAGCCATACCATCAGGTAGTGGGCACCTGAGGCTGTAAGTCAGAATAATCAATGCCCATTACTTTTCTTGTAAAAAAAATTCACAGTTTTGTACCTGGAAGACAGCTTGGAGATTTGAAGACAGACAATTCAGGAATACACTGAGATCTGTTGATGTTCCCAGCAAAGAAATTAAACAGCTCAAACCTACAGAGAAACAAAACAAGAAAGTGAAAAGACTGTACACACCCTTGCAGACATTCTCTGTAGGTATTCCGACCTGCATAAGCCAGGGGTGACATCTAAACAGTTGTTCACAGGGGCTCCGCAGGGCCCTGCGGAGCCTCACGGTTATTTGGAACACAAAGGATGAGTCCTAAGGCTGGGTTTGTTACCTCTGCCATCATTTAGTTTGAAGTCATGCCTCTGCCACTTGTTGAAATGGAAAGAAATGTTTTAAAACAATAACCCCACCTTGTAATTACACAGACCTTGTCTTCAGATGAGCTCATTGCAAAAATGCAGACGTGACCTCACCTATCCTTGACATTTTCACAAAACGGCTAATTTATTAATGTCATAAGTGATGGGGGACATCAAAGCCAGTAAGCACCTTGCCTGGGGTTGTACTCTCAATCAGGTGGAGCCCAAGCCAGCCGTGTGACGTCAGGTCTGGGATCCTGCACCTGTACGGGTAGCCTTTGGCCTTCCCACCTTTCTGAGTGCTGGTGCATACCAAACAGTTTAGAAAAGTAGTAGGTGGCTGTGGCCCTGGGTGAGGTTTGGTCAAGGTTTTCCTGGGTCTCAGAAGGATGTGCCCCCCAGGTGTCTGAATCTGCATCCTCCCAGAGAGATGCACAAGATGTCCATGGGAGTGAAGGGGCACTAAGCAGGCTAGTGGGTGCCTGGCAGTCACCTGCAGGCCTCCTGCCCTCCTGAGGATCCCTGGAGGGGTTCCCTGGGACAAGAGCAGGGTATGAGTGGCTACTTGGGATTTGTGGGGGAGCCAGTGCCCTGAGAAGGTCACCTTTGGGTTTCTTACTTCTCATAGCTGCCCAGACCTCTATAGCCTGCTAGGTTAGATGTTAACCTTTTTGTTGCTGGGCTGCAGGGAAGAGGAGTGCCCTAGAGGAGGATCTGGCCTGAGGATAGTCAAGACAATAGGGACAGGAAAAGAGGAGGGGCAGTTGGCAGAGGCTATTTACCAAGTATGGATGTATCTCAGCATTTTTAATAACTAATACAATCTTACCATGGTCAACCCTACATCAAGGTCAAAGACAATAGGACTATTTATAGGTGGTGTTTTTATGTGTTGCTGAACTCATGTATCCATCCTGTTAGAAATACTGAAATATAGGTGGGTGGCCCAGGGTGGACACTGCTGACACCCCGAAGGAGTTTTCAGGGAGTGGACAGATAGCTTTACACACAGTTGAGTGGACTGGGAAGGGGTTATGTCCACAGAGATAGAAGCTACTAGATTTTCCTGGGGCACCTGGAAGGTCACAAACAGGGGGGCCTGGCACCCTCCAGGTAACTGTCATCACAAGGCATGGAGATTGGTCTATAACCTACAGTCTGGGGAGAGAGTCATAACCATTCAAACTCCCCTCCTGAAACGGCTCCCAGGATGCTCTCCACACCACCCCCAGTCTGGAGAGTTCTGCCTCTCACTGCATTCACTCCCCCCCACCCCCAGGGATGTAAGCCTGACAGCTAGCATCTGAGCTCTTTATAGAAAGGAGATTTTTTTCTTGAAAAATAATTACAATTGTCAGACAGCAAATGGCAAGAAATATTCACGTGCTTCATATTCACTTGCTTGCTAAATAATGAAACTGGTAAAAGCCCCATTGCTAAACTGCACATTGTTAAAAATAATACTCAATGCTGCTAACAAAGGTGACAGTGGGATCTAGCAAGGCCAGAGCTGAATCCATCCAATTCAGACATGACAGGAGAGATACATTGAATAAGTTCACGTACAACATGATGCAGAAAGTCATTTTTTCTGCAGAAAGAAGCATTGTCAAGAGACAATATTGAACACTCAATACCAAACATTTATCTGTCCATGCATTTACTTAGCAAACATGTATTAGCACTGACACCTGGTCTGACACTTATAGGAAGGTTCTGAAAGCCCAGGAACACAGGGTGCTTCGTGCAGGAAGATATAATTGAGCATGTACATCAGAACATTTGAGAGTAAAAAAACTTCTGCTCAATTAAGAAATTCACAGTGACTGCCATGCTAGCCCCGATATATACCCAGCACAACAACAAACAGCACTGCACAAGAAAGGTTACATTTCATCTCTGTGTGGCTCTCCAGCTCCTCCATGTGGTTCGGGTCACTTGCCAGGGCCTTAGAAATATCCAAAGTGCCTTGACTGACAATGGCATGGAGATCTGACTTCAAGATGCTGACTCTCCTGTTATTTTTCAGCACCATTCTCATAGTCTAAAGACAATGAAGAAGCATCAAACTTCATTAAATTCCATCATTTTACTTTTTTCTAATTCCCCCCGCCCCACCTTACCAAGATTTTATTGTTTTTGAGAATGAAATGGGGGTTTGTGTATTATCTGTTAACATTGAATGTTAACGATACTTAAAATGTCCAATTTTCACACATTCTAGACCTGCCTTGCTGGAAACCAGCACTGGGCAGGCTTTAGCTCCTGGGCAGGTGCCTTTCAGGATCTCAGGGCCCTGTGAACTTCCTCTTCCTGTTTCCTATTCTCTGTCCCCACTCAAGCCCATGTTGCTCTAGAGACATGTTGTTGCTCAAGCCACATGTTGCAGTCAGTGAATGAATGTATGTGAGGAAGGTGTGGGTCTAGCATTGACCCCAATGCTAAGGGGTGGCTCGGGGCTTCAGAAGCTCTCTGTCCTTCCTGTTGGGAGACTTGAGCAATGAATTCAGCCTCCAAAGCTGATTTCCTTGCTGACAGGTGGAGACAATCTAAGTCCTTACATTTCAGGGCTTCGTGGGATGGCACTTGGTTTTCCTCACACTGTATAACCCCCTCCATTTTACAGAAGAGGAGATGCTCAGTAAATGTTTCCATGGCTGTAAGAGTAGAGATAAGGTACAGAATAAGGTTGGCTCTAGAATCCAAGTGTACTGCTTTGGTTGGGGTAAAATGGACTTGCTGCAGTCATGCTAGATGGATCCAACCATAAATGTGCCAGTGCCACAGAACAGGGTGGCCCTGGGACTTACATGTATAACAACCCTGATTACCTCAGAGTCCAAGGACTGTGTACTGAGAGGATGGGGACAGTTCAATGCATGACCTGCTGAGCTTCCCTTGAGCCAAGACAGACTTGGGGCACAGCAACTGTCCCCATGTTCTGTCCTGACCTGCTGTCCATAGGATTTCACAGTAAATTCATGGGTGGCCCACTTGTGGGTGTTGGCATTACATGGTCATCCCTTGGTATCCACATGGGGCTGGTTCTAGTGAATATCAAGATCAGCGGATGCTCCCGACCCTTATATAAAATAGTGTAGTGTTTGCATAGAACCTATACACATCTTTCTGTGTTCTTTAAATCATCTCTAGATGACTTGTAATACCTAACACAAGGTACATGCTATATACATAGTTGTTATATGTATGGTTTAGGGAATATAGACAAGAAAAAGTCTGTACATGCTCAGTACAGACACAACCATCACAGGCCTTTGCATATTTTAATCCTAGGATTGGCTGGATCTGTGGGACAGGCCCTGCAGATATGAAATCTTTTCTTCAGCCCTTTTTGACTTGCCGCTAGCACTGACTACATAATCACTCAAGTGTTAGAAGTCAGAGCTGAGGAGCCTGGCAGCCTGTACACACCAAGTCTATAGGGCCATGCACAAGGGGAAGGTGTCTGTCTGTCTGTCTATCCTAGGTCTGCTATGATGCCTTTCACCACTGACACCAGCTGGTCCAGATCGATACCTGAATGGAGCCTGCCACTAGCATCTTTTAAAGGACTCCTTCCTCATGCATACAAAGAGAGGCTCTTGGGCCCTTTTCCTGCAGGGAAAAGGGGTGGGCTTTTGAGTGTCATGAGACCTCTAGACCTCCCCAGCTACTGGCCAGCAAGGCCCTCCTTTCTGTCCTCTGCTCCACCAGTGGGTAACTGGAAATGGCCTTCCTGCAGGCAGTGACCACCTGCTCCCAGGTAGACTTGTGACTTTTACTCTGCACTTCAGGAAAATGCTTTGTTCCCCTGTCTGTGGCTGGAACCTACCTTTGCCATGTTGGAAAGGTATGTCTTTCTTCTGAGTCTTTTCACAAATACAGTGACTTCTGTTAAGAACAACACAGAGCCGTTATTGTTACCACATACACCAGCTCCTCTGTTGGATGGTGCAGAGGGAGAGGCGCCCTTGGCTGAGCGGGGAGGCACAGCTGCCTGAGCCATGTTCCCACCTTCCCCTTCTGCTGGCCCCTTCCTGAGTGGCTGGCATTCTGGCAGGGAAAACGCAAATAACATATCTCCAGAAAATAGCATATTGCCAGCATCTGACAAGAGGCTGCTATGGACTGAAGGTCTGTGTCCCCCTTATTCACATGTGATTGTCTTAGGAGTGAGGCCTTTGCAAGGTAATGAGGTCACAAGAGGAGAGCCCTCCTGATGGGCCAAAAGAGAGGCCCAGAAAGACCCCTTTTATCTTCCACCATGTGAAGACACCATCTACGTGCCAAGATGAAGGCCCTCACCAGACACTGAATCTGCCAGTGCCTTGGCCTTGGACTTGCAGCCTCTTGAACTATGAGAAACAAATCTCTTCTTTATAAGCCACCCAGTACATGGTTTTTGTTATTGCAGCCTGTGCTGACTTTATAAAATTGCTGTTTGAGGACAGTCACTAGGGTGGAGGGTGCAGGGCTGAGGTATGGAGGCTGGAGGCAGGATGATCAGCTAGCAAGTTCCTGAAGTAGCTGAGAGAGGGTAGAAAGAGACCAAGGGTTTGATGGGGATAGGTGTTCAGGAGCCACAGCCTTCTGCATCCCTTCCATGGACCCCTTCACAGCAAGCCTGTCTCACTTCCCTCCCACTTCACTGCCCAAGTGGCTGGCAATCTTGGGACCCATGTGATGGAGGCAAGTAGAAGCAAGTGGAATCAGGGCACCTGGCTTGACTACTGAACACAGCCAGGGTGGAGGTGAGGAAGATCAGACAGGGTCCTACTATGTATGCATTTCAAGAAGACAAGAACCCCAGAAAACAACTGCAAAGAAATCTGGCCTCAGAAACATGAGGAAGGGATGGTTGGCCTAGGCTGTCCCAAGAAAGGTGGTCCTGAGCAGGGAAGCACTGGAGACGGCGGCAGAAACTGATAGGAGTCTCAAGAAGCTGCTGTTTTCAGGGCTGTCAGACACAGCACCATGCGGCTATGCATACTGGTGTTAAAGGACCGTGGAGCTGAGAACACGAAAGGCCAGGCCTGTGGCAGGCAAGGACAGCCAACAGCAGCTCAGGGTCCAACCATGAGGCTTGAGCAGACAGTAGCCTCCGTTATCAGAAATGCTTGGGACAAATGTGTCTCAGATTACAGAATTTTCAGATTTTGGAATATATGAATATATGCCTTCAATACATAGTCTGAAGGTCATTTTATAAAACTTGTTTGGTGTGCCTGTGTTTTGACTGTGGCCTGTCACATGAGGTAAGGGGCAGACCATTCTACTTGTCCATCATGTGGATAAGTTTGGGATTGTGGAGCATTTCAGATTTCCTGTTGCCTTATTAGGGATGCTCAGTGTGTCTTCAGGGACAACAGCCTGGCATTCCAGAAAGTGAACAGGAGATGAGGGAGCCTGGGTGTGAGGTATAAGAGCACAAAGGAAGGCAGCCTTAGTGGCCCCAGATGTGAGAGGAAGGAAAGGGTACCGGGATTTCTAAGGAGGGAACAGAATTCTTTATGTAGAAGGATGGAAAGGGTGCTGCAGCCAGAGGCAGTTCACCCTGCCCAAGTGAGAGACCCAGGATGACAGAAGGCCAAGGCAGGCCTTCCTCTCCCAAGTCTCCAGACCTGGGGAACTGCAAAGGCCATGGGTTACTCATCGGGGACCAGCCCAGGAAGTACTATTAGGAAAGGCTAAAGCCTGGCCCTAGGACTGTTTCCTGCATGAGGGGCAAGAGGGCTCCTAGACACAACAGCTAAGTAGCACCACCCTAGTGTGAAGGTTAGATTCTTCACCAATCAAAATTTATTTACCTTTTGCATGGAACCTACCTTTGAGTTTGGAGATCCGTAAGAGGGCTGGAAAATCTTCCAAGACATTAAGGAGCCACAGCTTAAACTTCTTACTAAATAACCGGACAGATTTCAGGTACTGAATAGAGACCTCTTCCAAAAAGTCATGGAGAAGAATGTCCTCAATTCCCTACAATGAAAGTGTCAGCCCCTGTGACTCACTGGTAGGTGCAGGAGCCTCTAACTGTAAGTGGCCAAGCTTATAGTACCGCAGGGACTGGGGTGGGGGGCAGGTTATGACAGGTCTGAGGGAAGGCTCTGCCTGGCCCTTCCTGGCCCGAGGGACAGACTCTCTTTATTGTGCAGGATGTCAGAATGTGCAGAATTTGATTTTTGTTGCAATGCTCATATCTGATTATTTGTGGTGGTCGTGGTGGGCACTGGGGATGGACCCCATGACCTTGCACATGCCGGACAAGCAAGTGTTCTACCACCAAGCTACATTCCAGCCCCCGATTCAATTCCTTTTAAATTAGCCAATGCTAGGCAGGTCAGACCAAAGGCACTAGGGACTGAACCCAGCCTCCAGCTTTCCATCCTGGTGTTAAAAACCTAGCAGCACTAGATGGTTTCCCACAAAATAAAAGGTGAGGTTTGTGACTATTGAGAAGAGAATAGCTTTTCACCACAGAAATGATGTATATCTAACCCCCAAATACAAAAACTGCTCCAGAGGCAAGCGCTCCAAACTGAATCAAACCAACCCCTGGGCTATTATGTATATTCCAAAGCAAAGTATCCAAAGTTCTTCTGGATACTTATTCTAAAATGTCTTCTTTGAGGCCGGGTTGGTGGCAAATGTCTGTAATCCCAGAATTGTGGACCTGAGGCAGAAGGAATGAGAGTTCAAGACTGGACTGGTTATGGAGCAAGTTCCAGGCCAGCCTTAGCTACATAGGAAGACTCTGTTTCATAAAACCAAACAATAGTAATAGTAATAATAATGATAATAAAACAAATAAATAAACCATCTTTGGTTGCAATGTCCAGAGAAAGAGTTTTGGCTCAATCCAGGGTCACTGGTAGTGGAGTCACAGGTTGCTATGTGCCCTGGGTTATTATTTTTTTTTAATACAAGGAAATTTTAGGCACAGCTGAAAAAGCCCATCACCCTCTGGTCCCCCTCAGAGCATCCAAAGCCCATGGGCACTGCCGGGATGGTGGTGGTGGGCGGGGGGTAGGGTTCTAACACAAGAATGTGACATGGATTACTGCAAAGGACACAGACCAGGGACTCAGATGTCCTCTTACCTTGTACAGCTGTACATCGTAACACTTCAAGAGCTGGCGCATGTCAGACAGTGACATAAGCATGACTGTGTCAGGTCGCAGAGATTTCCAGAAAGCGGTAAGTAAGCCCTCCACCTAAGGTCAGAACATATCACCGGAAACTCACTCTGTGCTTCATCAGACTAATGCCACATACAGACTTAATTAGCCCTGAAGGACAATGGGCTGAGTTTTGTTCCAATGGATGTCAAGCTTAGCGTCAGCTTTTCCGAGCTGTACTTTGTTAGTATTCAACCCACTGTGGAATGTATTTTCTTAATTTTTTTTTAAGATGGAAGGCTGTTTAGGACCACAAGGGGGCTCTGGTTGATTATAAAAGGATGATAAATGGGCTACCAGGGCCCAGTCAAGAGTTCTATAGATGTTCATTGAATGACTGACTGACTGCCTTGATCACTTTCCAGCTCAGAAAGAGCTGTATTTCATCTCAGAGGCCTCCTCTTTGACATCAAGTTGGAAGTCCTCCAGGGACTGTGTAAGCAAAAGGGGGACAGGTGTGATTCTACATAGGAATCTTCTTTTTTAATGCTACGATTTATTTGGCAAAACAGGATAAAGTAGAAAGAAATAGAACAGAGAAAAAGTTTGCCATGCAAGTATAGGAGCAGAGAGGCTCCCATAGGCCCCTTTAGCTTCCCTCCTTTTCTTTGTTCTCATTCCCCCATGTTGACTATCTGACTCTACTTGAACCAGGTGACCATTCTGAGTAGTGAGTGACTCTTGCCTTTGGGGGATTTCCACAGCTCAGGTATTCTGAGGTGTCACCAGGACCCACTAGTTGTCCCCAGCCAGGATCCCATGTACAGGCCATCAAGAAAGTTAGGGTCAGCTCTCGAGTTCCATGGTAATGGTCCCTGATTTGAGATCCTGTGTCAAGGGCATTCATTTTGGACTTTTCCAAAGAAACTGAGAAAAATACAACACAGGATGTATCAATCCTTACTCTCACGATGGTGACTTGGCCTATGGGGTTGGCGGTTGTGAGCTGAGACAGCAACCATAGATTTGGCTTTGTTAACTTCCTTATCACCCATGTCCAAGTCCTAGCACACCCACCCCACAAACGTTCCTACAACTTTCTTCCTTCTCCCAGATTCTCTGCCACCACACTGGACTGACTCACCTCTGCTCACCTCGACTATGACAAACCCTTCTGCCCATATGGCCAAGTCTGACACTGCCCCCTTCCCTGCTGTCTTCCCAAAAAACTGGAGTTCTTCATGGAGCGTGAGGAGCCCTCTCTAGTGCCAGCCTCCTTCCTTGCTCCCTCCTTTGGAGATGCAGGACAGATCCGGGGAAAATGAGGCAAGGGGAACAGCCACCAGGAATTTGAAGAAAGGCTCTGTATTAAAGAATACCTTAAGCCAGGCACTGGTGGCTTACACCTGTAATCCTAGTTAATCAGGAGGCAGAGATCAGGAGGACCTCAGTTCAAAGCCAGCACAGCCAAACAGTTCACGAGACCCTATCTCAAAAAAAACCATCACAAAAAAAGGGCTGGTAGAGTGACTCAAGGTGTAGGCCCTGAGTACCACCAAAAAACAAAAGAATATGTTGGTTAAAAGCACACAGGCATCATCTGCTTTGCTTTAAGTTTTATACTTCCTAGATAAGCTTCAATGTTTAGCTAAAAGAGACAAAAAACAAAAATGGGGAAAAGAGCAGATTTTTCCCTTTGACCTTATAAAGAAAGACATTTGTCCTAAGGGTTAAATTTTTAGAAAGGAAAAAAACACTTGGGAAAAATGACTTCTCTGGGTGGAAAAAGTGTTTGCAAAGGAAAATATTTCTCAAGGATGGACACTTTTTTTGAAGGGAGCATCTAGCAGAACCCACATGGGCTCAGCATCCGTGTCATACTGACCCAAATTTAATGAACGGACAAACCTTAATATCTTTGGACTCAACTGATAAAACAGTGTAATAGCAAGAATGATTAAATATACCAGGTGTCCAGAACAAAGAGTATCATTCACCCTACAGCAAATTTGAGCCAATCCCCCAGCCCACTCTTTCACCATAAATACCCCGGATGTTAGAGTTATCACATGTGCCCACACCCACATCAGGATTGTGTACTGTCCTTTCTTTGTTTTGCTTTACTGATAAACTTTCTTGGTCTCCACCTCCATGTGTCCTAAACTTCTTTTTTGTGACATCATCACAAACTCAGTACCCAAGGGCCAGGTAGAGGCTCCTCCCTTTTGAAGACCTCCTCCCTGGAGCCTCACTGGTCCCAGTAACAGAGTCACAGGGACCCTAAGGCATGTGGTGCCTGTGAACATCTTGTGGCCTCTGCCCATAGCATGGGTTTGGGTTGGAATCTCTTTCTTACCCCGTTTTCTGTCTGTTGACCCTCTGCTTTTCCTATTGGAATTGGACCTGCCTTGGGAATGCTCCCCAGATCTCTGCTACTCTTCTCTGGGCACCCAGAATCCTCTAATCTCACAACTGCTATAATTTCAATATGATTTGCCCCCACTGAACTTCCCACTGTGATGTACTAAGAGAGCAGACACTTAATCTGACTATGGTGTTTAAAGGCAGGGCCTTGGTAAGTGATTGGGATTAATAGATCATCAGGGTACGCATGATGACTGGATGCTGGTGGTGTTCTGAAAAAAAGAGAGAGAAACACACACACGCACATGCATGTGCTTCCTGTCCTTTGCCATGTGATGATGCTCTGTGCTGCCCTGGACTGCCTGCAAGAAACGCCTCACCAGATAAAGCCCTTAGATCCTTCACCTTCAGAACCATGAGCCAAAATAAACTGGCCTGCCTCAGGAATTTTATTATAATAAATGCTAGATTTGGGATATGGAACAAGTCCCCCAAAGGCATGTGTATTAAAGATTTGGTCCTTCCACAAAGCCACCATTACAAAAGATTCTGCAAGGGATCCTGCACACAGAAAGTGACACCCAACTTAACCATGAAAAGGCAGTCAGCACCAAACCACAGGATAAGAAAAAGCAAGACAGTAGAGAGTAACATCAAGTTAGGTACACACAATCAAACCTTCAAACAACTAAGATAACTAAATGGCAGGAATCACCACATACCTATCAGTACTAACGCTTAATGTTAATGGACTTAATTCACCCATCAAAAGACACCGTTTGACAAAATGGATTAAAAAAGAAGATCCAACAATTTGTTGCTTACAGGAGACTCATCTCACCGACAGAAATAAGCATATGCTTAGGATGAAAGGCTGGAAGAAGATTTACCAAGCCAATGGCCCCCGAAAACAAGCAGGAGTAGCAATACTTATCTCTGACAAAGTAGACTTCAAACCTACATTGATCAAACGAGATAAAGAAGGACATTCCATACTAATAAAAGGGGAAATAGACCAAAAGGAAATAATAATCATCAATCTGTACGCACCCAATGTCAACGCACCCAATTTCATCAAACATACCCTGAAAGACCTAAAAGCATATATAAACGCCAACACAGTGGTTGTGGGAGACTTTAACACTCCATTATCATCAATAGATAGGTCATCCAAACAAAAACTCAATAAAGAAATCCAAGATCTAAAATATGCAATAGATCAAGTGGACCTAGTAGATGTCTACAGAACATTTCATCCAACCTCTACACAATATACATTCTTCTCAGCAGCCCATGGAACCTTCTCCAAAATAGATCATATCCTAGGGCACAAAGCAAGCCTCAGCAAATATAAGAAAATAGAAATAATACCGTGCATACTATCTGACCACAATGCAGTAAAAGTAGAACTCAACAACAAAAGTAAAGACAAAAAACATGCAAACAGCTGGAAACTAACTCATTACTTAATGAAGAATGGATCATCGATGCAATAAAAGAGGAAATTAAAAAGTTCCTGGAAGTCAATGAAAATGAAAACACAACCTACCGGAACCTATGGGACACAGCTAAGGCAGTCTGAGAGGAAAGTTTATAGCCATGAGTGCATATATTAAAAAGATTGAAAGATCCCAAATCAATGACCTAATGATACATCTCAAACTCCTAGAAAAACAAGAACAAGCAAATCCCAAAACAAATAGAAGGAGAGAAATAATAAAAATAAGAGCTGAAATCAACGAAATAAAAACCAAAAAAACCATACAAAGAATTAATGAAACAAAAAGTTGGTTCTTTGAAAAAATAAACAAGATCGATAGACCCCTGGCAAACCTGACTAAAATGAGGAGAGAAAAAACCCAAATTAGTAGAATTAGGAATGCAAAAGGGGAGATAACAACAAACACCATGGAAGTCCAGGAAATCATCAGAGACTACTTTGAGAACCTATATTCAAATAAATTTGAAAATCTAAAAGAAATGGACAGATTTCTAGATACATATGATCATCCAAAACTGAACCAAGAGGAAATTAATCACCTGAATAGACCTATAACACAAAATGAAATTGAAGCAGCAATCAAGAGTCTCCCCAAAAAGAAAAGTCCAGGACCTGATGGATTCTCTGCTGAATTCTATCAGACCTTTAAAGAAGAACTGATACCAACCCTCCTTAAACTGTTCCATGAAATAGAAAGGGAAGGAAAACTGCCAAACACATTTTATGAAGCCAGTATTACACTTATCCCAAAACCAGGCAAAGACACCTCCAAAAAGGAGAACTATAGGCCAATCTCCTTAATGAACATTGATGCAAAAATCCTCAACAAAATAATGGCAAACCGAATTCAGCAACACATCAAAAAGATTATTCACCACGACCAAGTAGGCTTCATCCCAGGGATGCAGGGGTGGTTCAACATACGAAAATCAATAAATGTAATAAACCACATTAACAGAAGCAAAGACAAAAACCACTTGATCATCTCAATAGATGCAGAAAAAGCCTTTGATAAGATCCAACATCATTTCATGATAAAAGCTCTAAGAAAACTAGGAATAGAAGGAAAGTTCCTCAACATTATAAAAGCTATATATGACAAACCTACAGCCAGCATTATACTTAACAGAGAAAAATTAAAACCATTCCCTCTAAAATCAGGAACCAGACAAGGATGCCCACTATCTCCACTCCTATTCAACATAGTACTGGAATTCCTAGCCAGAGCAATTAGGCAAGAAGAAGGAATAAAAGGAATACAAATAGGTAAAAAACTGTCAAAATATCCCTATTTGCAGACGACATGATCCTATACCTTAAAGACCCAAAAAACTCTACTCAGAAGCTTCTAGACATCATCAATAGCTATAGCAAGGTAGCAGGATATAAAATCAACATAGAAAAATCATTAGCATTTCTATACACTAACAATGAGCAAACTGAAAAAGAAATATGAAAACAATTCCATTTACAATAGCCTCAAAAAAAATCAAATACCTAGGTGTAAACCTAACAAAAGATGTGAAAGACCTCTACAAGGAAAACTATACACTTCTGAAGAAAGAGATTGAGGAAGACTATAGAAAGTGGAGAGATCTCCCATGCTCATGGATTGGTAGAATCAACATAGTAAAAATGTCGATACTCCCAAAAGTAATCTACATGTTTAATGCAATTCCCATCAAAATTCCAATGACATTCATTAAAGAGATTGAAAAATCTACTGTTAAATTTATATGGAAACACAAGAGGCCACGAATAGCCAAGGCAATACTCAGTCAAAAGAACAATGCAGGAGTATCACAATACCTGACTTCAAACTATATTACAAAGCAATAACAATAAAAACAGCATGGTACTGGCACAAAAACAGACATGAAGACCAGTGGAACAGAATAGAGGATCCAGATATGAAGCCACACAACTATAAGCAACTTATCTTTGACAAAGGAGCTAAAAATACACGATGGAGAAATAGCAGCCTCTTCAACAAAAACTGCTGGGAAAACTGGTTAGCAGTCTGCAAAAAACTGAAACTAGATCCATGTATATCACCCTATACCAAGATTAACTCAAAATGGATCAAGGATCTTAATATCAGACCCAAACTCTTAAGTTGATACAAGAAAGAGTAGGAAATACTCTGGAGTTAGTAGGTATAGGTAAGAACTTTCTCAATGAAACCCCAGCAGCACAGCAACTAAGAGATAGCATAGATAAATGGGACCTCATAAAACTAAAAAGCTTCTGTTCATCAAAAGAAATGGTCTCTAAACTGAAGAGAACACCCACAGAGTGGGAGAAAATATTTGCCAATTATACATCAGACAAAGGACTGATAACCAGAATATACAGGGAACTTAAAAAACTAAATTCTCCCAAAACTAATGAACCAATAAAGAAATGGGCATGTGAACTAAACAGAACTTTCTCAAAAGAAGAAATTCAAATGGCCAGAAAACACATGAAAAAATGCTCACCATCTCTAGCAATAAAGGAAATGCAAATTAAAACCACACTAAGATTCCACCTCACCCCTGTTAGAATAGCCATCATCAGCAACACCACCAACAACAGGTGTTGGCGAGGATGCGGGGAAAAAGGAACCCTCTTACACTGTTGGTGGGAATGTAGACTAGTACAACCACTCTGGAAAAAAATTTGGAGGCTACTTAAAAAGCTGGACATCGATCTACCATTTGATCCAGCAATACCACTCTTGGGGATATACCCAAAAGACTGTTACTCCAGAGGCACCTGCACATCCATGTTTATTGTGGCACTATTCACAATAGCCAAGTTATGGAAACAGCCAAGATGCCCCACCACTGACGAATGGATTAAGAAAATGTGGTATCTATACACAATGGAATCTTATGCAGCCATGAAGAAGAACGAAATGTTATCATTCGCTGGTAAATGGATGGAATTGGAGAACATCATTCTGAGTGAGGTTAGCCTGGCCAAAAGACCAAAAATCGTATGTTCTCCCTCATATGTGGACATTAGATCAAGAGCAAACACAACAAGGGATTGGACTATGAGCACATGATAAAAGCGAGAGCACACAAGGGAGGGGTGAGGATAGGTAAGACACCTAAAAAACTAGCTAGCATTTGTTGCCCTTAATGCAGAGAAACTAAAGCAGATACCTTAAAGCAACTGTGGCCAATAGGAAAAGGGGACCAGGAACTAGAGAAAAGGTTAGATCAAAAAGAATTAACCTAGAAGGTAACACCCACACACAGGAAATCAATGTGAGTCAATGCCCTGTATAGCTATCCTTATCTCAACCAGCAAAAACCCTTGTTCCTTCCTATTATTGCTTATACTCTCTCTACAACAAAATTAGAGATAAGGGCAAAATAGTTTCTGCTGGGTATTGAGGGGGGGGAGCGGGAGGGGGCGGAGTGGGTGGTAAGGGAGGGGGTGGGGGCAGGGGGGAGAAATGAACCAAGCCTTGTATGCACATATGAATAATAAAAGAAAAATGAAAAAAAAAAAAAAGATTTGGTCCTTGACCTATAAAGCTATTAGGAAGTGGTGGGGCCTTTAAGAATGTCAGCTATTGGTGAGGATGAATAGGTATAGCATTGCATCTATAGAACAGGGCCATTCTGAAGATGTCTTGGTCTCTCCACACTATATCACTTTACACGGAGTAAGGTACTAAGTGTGCTCACGTGGAATGACTGTGGTCATCTAAAGCTGAAGTGCTTGGAGTACTAAAGCATGGGGAAGACCTTCACTTGAATGTGCACATTTCCCTGGATATTCATGTATAATTCAGGATAGTTAAATGGTTTATTCATATTTTCCATGGCCAATTCTTCTTCTCCTTCTCCCCCTCCTGCTTCCTCCTTCTCTTCTTCATGCTGGGGATTGAACCCAGGCTTCACACATGCTGTAACAAACACATGCTCTACCACTGAGCTACACCCCTCATGCTACACCGCCAACTGTAGAGTCAAATCTACCCTACCATGGCCGCATCACAAGCTTCAAAGTCCTGCTTCTTTTTCTCTTGGTGTGAATCAATAAAATAGCTCTTTGGCATACTTTATTGCCAATACTTTATTCAAACTTAGTGGAATTAAGCTTTGGCATACTTTATTGCCCATACTTTATTCAAACTCAGTGGAATTAAGCTCTAAAAAAAGGGTAAATTTGTACAGAAAGCATGAAGTTATCCACATTAGTACATTGTAGAGTTTCCAAATGATTAAATTGAATATCAATGCCACCTTCAAGAACTTACTAACTACCAAATAGCTACATCATAAGCACTTCAGAGCAATGATTAGCACCATTGTCCCTGGAGTGGTCTAATCAAGTAAAATGGTTAGTAATTTTATGGGCTGAAAACCTACCCTCTCAAGTTCTTGGTTCTTCACATGTTGTAAAATGACTTGACAATAGCTGCAGTATTCATCAGTGAGAAAGGCCACCTGGGAAGGACATGGAAATGAGTTCAGCCTTTGGGCTAATTCAAGAGTGAATCAAATCAGAGAGAGAGACAGAGTGGGCAGGGTGAATGTGATCAAAAACATTATATGTGTGAAAATAGTATAATGAAACCCAGTAAAATGGTTAAAAAGGAGGGGGGGAGGGGCTGACAAAGAGTAAAACCTATGTGATGAATTTGATCAAAGTGCATTATATATGTATGTAAATATCAAAACAATTAATTTATGCTAATAAAAAAGAATGAATCAATCCTCAAAACTCTCAGAGGCCATTCTTATTACAATTCTGATGACAGTAGCTGGACTCTCCACCTGGGCCACAATGTTTTTAATTTCCATGGAATAGTGTATACTTTATGGGCCTGAAGTTCATGTAGCTTTAATTTCATGGGGAGGGTGGGACTGGGGTTTGAATTCAGAGCTTCATGCTTGCAAAACAGGTGCTCTACCCTTTGAGTCTCACCTCCAGTCCATATTGCTCTATTTATTTTGGAGTTGGGGGTCTCACGAACTATTTGCTTGGGCTGTCCTCAAATTGGAATTCTTCCAATCTCAGCCTCTCAAGTATCTGGGATTATAGGCATGAGTCACCAGCACCCAGCAAGCTTCAATTTTAATGTCATAACTCATACATCTCCACCACTACAAAGGCCACCAACTTTTGACATCTTTCTCCCTAAACCCAATTTCCCCCCCATTATCTCCCAGCCTCAGTTTCTAGAAAATTCATGTCTCTGCTCTCCTCTTTGTCATGGGGAGGCCCTCACTCTAGAAGATGACAAAGCAGTCCCAAGTGGGCATTCCATAGGATATGGGGAACCTCCTGACCATCACTAAGTCTGAGGGAACAATGGTCCCCACAGGTCTGAGAGGAGACAAATATTACCCCAGGTGGCAGAGTCATGTCCACAGGCAGAACAAGAAGATATGATCACCCTAAATACCACATGGTATGAAGAGCTAATCTCCCCAATGAGACACACATACCATTTTATAGGAATATTTCTTTGCCAGTTCTTGCTCCCAAAACAGGTATCTTCTGAATTCGGACAAAGGAGAGTCAACTGGGTCTGTCTTTACTGGTGAATGATTTTCATCCTAGAAATCATTTACAAAATGGATGAGTATTTCCTGAAAATAAAATGCACTTTCTACATACAAACCGAGTCACGATCGCCTTGCTTCTGTAAGTTCATAGCCTTTTATCTATGGTCCTGGACTCCAGCAACTTCCCCTCCATGTTCCATTCCACATGATGCTAACCTTTTCCATAATTCTATGAACTATGGCCACAGAGAGGGTTTAGGATTTAATATATCATCCAAATATATCAACACTGGAGTCATGTCCAATAAAATTTTGTCTATGACTAACTTTATGTCACAAATACATAACTGTTGCTCCTTGAAATAAAACCCTGTCTGGGTCATCATGTTTGAATCATAAACATGAGTAGTTGTATCAGAAATCCCAGGGCCATTGCAACAAGGAAAATAAGGAGCCCTGACTTCTCATTAGAAGAACAAGTTACAGGATAGGAAGGAAGTCAAAAGCACACTCAGCATCCCCCTCTGTGCTGTCCCTGTGGGCAGGGGGAGGCAGGACCACTCCTGGGCAAAGAAGGGACATGGGTTCTGTTGGAAATTCTTCAGGATTTTCCTAGCCTTTGGGATAGTTTCCCTTACAGTAGAGTGGTATGAAATCATTTCTACAACCTGGACACTGAGCTGCAAAGCCTGCTGTGTTGAACAACAACTTTTCATTCTCTCTCCAATGCATTGGTCTGCTCAGTGTCAATGTTTGGACAGTTCCAAGGTCACAACTCACTGTTGTGGGTTCTCATATACCCACAGCAGAGATAAGCTCGTTCACGAAATCATTTCTGTGAGTTTTGGTATCTCCCTGTCTATAAGGCTTCCGAGGTGGGATGGCTCCTCTTATCATCCGTGCCCATCACCCTTAGGCAGGAGAGTGATGCTCGGCCGCATCATATTGCACCACCTACTCCAGAAAACAGGTCCCCTTGGGCTCCTCCTCCCCTGTGATGCTCTCTTGTGGTCAACCAGCACCACACTGAGGATCACAGGAGTTGGGGGAATCATGCCCAGAAGTCTGTACTTCTGAACTCTTTTGTGGTCCTGAAAAATCTGTTGAAATTAACTGACCCCCTTCCTAGGAACATGCACACTATATAGGTAGTATATTGCAACAATACCAGGTAAAAACTCCTCCTGTAAATATTTTTATCTTGTAAATATTTTTGAAAGGAATATCAATGACATGGAATAGAAGTGCAGAAAAACGACAGCATAAAGGGTTCCTCTATGGATGGCGTCTCTGCCCATTTCCAGCATTATTTTAGGATGCTAGCTTCAGTCAGGGTTGTTTGATGGATGGCACTTCTCTAGCATGTGGGAGGAGGTGCTGGGGCTGATCATCAGGAAGGATGGCCTGACTTTCAGTGCTTCTACCAGAAACCTGAGGAGTGCTCGATTCTGGCTCTGGGTTTGCCTGGTCCCATTGCTCTCCCTGCTGCCTGTCTGCTCTCGGGATGCTGATGCTGCTCTTTCCAAAGCCAGAGTTCTCAAAGTGTGGTCCTGAAACTACCTACACCAGAATTCCTTGGGGTGCTTAGTCTGCAAGAGAGTCAGAGGAGACCAGAAATCTTGAGTTTTGACCAGCTTGGGAGCTACAGGTTTAGGCAGACTATATTTTGTTTAAGCCTACAGAAATCACTACATTTCAACAGGACAAATGCATCACTGTCTCACCTATTCCAAAGTCCTCTGGCAGTGCAGAATTAGAATATCAATAAATGATTATAAGAGAATGTATATGTGTTATAAAATATTAAAAGTCTATGCTCCTGAACTCAATTCCCTTAGGTCTCTTCCTTCATAGAAATTACCTTATAATTCATTATACACTGCTGTGAAAAGAACTAGCCTTTCAGAAAAAAAAATACTTAATTTTAATCTTTTGGTGTTGGGGATTGAAACCAGAGCCTTAGTCATACTAAGCATGCACTCTACCATCCCTGGTCCAAAAAATATTTTATATATCATGAATTGAGACATTTTTCTCACAATACAATCAGAAATCTAGAGTGAGAATGTGGTGCAGAGCTATTGAAGTTTGAGTCTCTGTAGGAGAAGGTGTTCTAGAAGCAATTGGAGGGGTTTCTGGGTTGGGGAAACAGTGCAAAAATGACAAAGAGCTGGGGATGTGGCTCAAGTGGTAGAGTTTGCCTAGCAAGTATAAAGCCCTGAGTTCAAATCCCAGTACCACCAAAACAAAACAAAAAAGACAAAGAAAAAAGTGAGAAATCTTATTTAGAATCTCCAGGTAGATTAACCAAAGCTTGGGGTCTTCAGTAGACCCAAGAAATGTCACTGGAACTTTTATCATTTATTTATTTAATCTTTAGTGAGCATGTATGCTGTTGTTTGGAATGTCCCCCAAAGGCCTGCGAGTTAAAGGCTTGGTCCCAGCCTGTGGCACTTTGCAATGTTGTGTAACTTTAAAAGATGGAGCCCAGTAGGTTTTTAGGCCATTAGGGGCATACCATCAAAGGGTATTGTGGAATGCTGGACTCGTTCTCTCTCTTTTGCATGCTGCAGCCATAAAATGAATAGTTTTGCCTGGCCACACATTCCCAAAAAGCTTATCACAGGTCCAAAAGTAATGGGGCCAACAGATCATAGACTGACACCTTCAAAACTGTGAGCCAAAATAAACCTTTCTTCTTTATAAGCTGATTATCTCAGGGATTTCATTCAAGTAATACAAAGCCAGCTCCTGAGGATACAATGGGGACGCCTTCCTGCCATTACCATTCCTGAGTGGTTGTCTTTAGTTCTTCCTGCACGGTTGTCTTTAGTTCTTCCTGCACCTATGTGCACACTGCTCCTAGACTATCTCCATTTATTCACACAAAGCAAATGTATCCTGTCATTCGATGCCTTGATGGTGTCTAACAGTCTCTAGGGTCAAATCTAAATTCCTCAGCCTGGCATCAGCAAGCTCTCTACCATCTGGATCTCTCCTTTTCCCTCACCTGGAGTCTTTGGCTCCTCCAACATCCTCACATCTGGCTTCTTGCTGCCTCCACATTGTTATCGTCACCTTGAATGCAAACTACACTTCCAAGATGAATACCCTCCTACCAAGGAGCCCAGTGGTCACTTCCAGGGCCAGCTCAAGTGCAGAGGAGCAGGCAGAATAATAGCCCCCAAGAGATCCACGTCCCAATCTCCAGAGCCTGTAATTATACTGCTTTACATGGTCTGAGGGACTTTGCAGATATGAATGACTTAAGGACCTTGAGACAGGAAGATCATACCACCTTACCTGGGTGGCCCCATGTGATCACAGAGAACAAGAGAGGGGAATGGCATGAGAAGGACCCAGCCTGCCTTTGCTGGCTTTGAAGGCGAAGCAAGGGGCCACAAGCCAAGATTCTAGAAGCAGGAAAAGGCAGAGAATGGGCTCTCCCCTAGAGTCTGCAGAAGGAACACAGCCCTGCAGACACCTTGAGCTTAGCCTCCTAACTCCAGAACTGTGAGATAATCAGTGTGTGTTGTTTTAAGCCACCGAATTTTGTGCTAATTTGATACAGCAGCATTAGGAAATGAACACAGGCTACCTCTTCCATGAAACCCTCCCTAATCACCGTGGCCCCTCACAGGCTCCACTTCACCTCTCTGGATTCCCACGCCAGTCACAGCCTCATGGCCCACTCAACATTGTGCTGGTTGTTTCATGTCTATTATCGCTCCCTGATTACAAACTGTGTTGTACTCAAGTGTAAGGCATTTTAATCCATATAAGTATAAGGACTTTTGTCTTTTACTTTTCTCTCATACCCTGCTCAGCCCTCAAGACTGCTCATCACAAAATAGATTTTTAAAGAGTTGCCCATGGGTGATATTTTCTGAACAGAATATTTGCTCCCCAACTCCTTCTCCAAATCTACATGTTGAAACCCCAGTTCCAATGTAATGGGATTGGAGGCGAGGTCTTTGGGAGACAATTAGGTCAAGAGAGTGGAGCCTTCATGAATAAGGTCAATGCCCTTTCAAGAGGTCACACCTGGGGCAGCCAGTTGTTTGCAACCCAGAAGGGTCCTCACCTGAACTCAGCCATGCTGGCGCCCTGACCTCAGACTATAGCCCCTAGAACCTTGGGAAGTGAATGTGTATTGTTCAAACCACCCAGTTTATGGTAATTTGTTATCACAGCCTGAGCTAAGACAGTATCAAAGTACTGTCATGTCTTAGGTAACTAAAGTATAATTCAACTCACAGTGTCATAGATTAGCTATTAATAACTCTAGTGTCCTAATTCTAAGAGTCTTAACTGTAATACTGAGATTCTATCAGACAAATTTATTGCTAACAACCTGTACATCCTTTTTAATTATAGCTAAAACAATGCAGTCAAGTGATGGATGTGCAGCTAAGTAGTACGCTCCCTGGGGACAGGGACCACAACCATCTTTGAACAGTGCTTGGTGCATGGTGGACACTCAACAATCACAGACAGGTGGATGACAATAAGAACACCATACGCAGAAAAACAGTTGCATCTAATTAATATTGAATATGAGTATTACTGAATATTAAGTACATGTGTTTTATTCATCACTCACCATTTCTTCTTGTTGGACAGTGCTGTTATAATCAGATGTTTCAAAGGGAGCAATATTTCCACTGTGGAAAACAGGTAACAGAGCAGCAATTTTAGTAGGACACCTGGCTCTGAGCATAAGAATGTAATTTCTATTGTAGTAAGGTTATTTGTTTGGGGTATAACTTAAAGCAAGACCTTTCAATTTTCTACCTTAAATGGTCATTTTCATGTGCTCAGGTTGTTTAAAAAAACATTTTTCTAACTGGGACAATCTTGTATTTATTTTTAAAGGTTATTCCCTTCAGAAGCAAGGATATGATGTCATCATAGGTACAACTTGCTCCTATGGGAAAAGAAAAATCATCATGAAAATGAAATTTTATTACTTCCTGATTTTGGACCTTTTAAAATGATTGACCCAGAAATAATCATATCCTCTGAGTCGCTGAATGTGGCAGAGTTCCTTCACAGAACAAGGAAATTGATGATTAATCCTAGTCACATAAATTTCATTTTGCCAAGCTTCTTGAATTCCGATGTTATGATAGAGACATTCATAACAGAGAATGGATTCAGTCCTATCCATGCAGTGTGGCACATCTTTCCTTTAATTATGAACATTGGAGATATCAGGAACCCTGGCCTCCCAATGGCACCAGGATATGCCTTCTCTAGGTGCCAGAGGGGTGCCATCTCCTTCCCAGTTCCCCATTAGTTCCAGGGCTGTGGCTGAGCTGAGGGCAGGTGTGACTGGGGCAGCTCTGTCTACTCTATGTCAGCACACAAACTCACTCCTGGCTGTGCATCTCTAATAAGTCCAGAGAGAGAAGGAGGGTAATGACTGTTGCTCTGCTCTGGATGCAGGGCAGCTATTGGGAGGGCCTGTGAGGGGGTGGGAGAAAGAGAGGAGATGGATGATAAAGGCTTCCATTTTGCACAGGAGGATCCTACATCCCTGCCTAGTCTTTCAAAAAGACTCTCTTCTGAAAGGTTTGTGTCAGTCCCAAGTCCTGGAAAACTGGCAGAATATTTGAGACACACTTGATAAACGTTTCTACATAATACTCTGTCTCAAAACAAGGCATGTAGATTCAGAGTCTGGATAAAAACCCAGTAGGAAGTCAGCTCTTCATCACGGGCATGTACCACCATGCCCCGCTCTCTTCAACTTTTAATAAGAGTTGTTATCAAAACATAAACTTTACTTTGGACATTCCAGTGTGCATGGGATCAGTTCAACCCAACCTTGGAGGATATCTGCATAAAGCCTAAACATAGGATAAGCAGTGTTAGAAAATGAAGGATTTGAAGATTTTTACTTGTCATGTAGTGTGGGCCAAGTCCCCTCACCTCAATTCATATATTGAAGCCCTGGTCCCTAATGTGACTATTTGGAGACAGAATTTCTAAGGAGATAATTAAAATTAAATCAGGTCGTAAGAGTGGGGCCCTGGGCTAGCTGAAACAGTTTGGATCTAAGATGGTTGCCACAGTGACTGTCAGACAATGTCTAACTTCATTATAATCCCATTTGCATTCTATGACATATTCACTAGCACCATGACAGTTGGCAATTGCTATGACACAACTAGAAAGAAACATGAAAGGAGAGAAAAAAAAGGGGGAACCCAAATTTCAGGAAAATCTCTACCCAATTCCAGAAAAACATGCATATTCCTCCTCTTTATCTACCCTGTCTCCTCATTTTTTTTTACCCTACAGCTATGACCACCCAGTCCCCAATGAATCAATAAGTTGACTTCAATACTAATTACTCTCACTTCTATTCTCAGCCAAAAACAAAACTCTACTTTGCTGCTTAAAAAAGAAAAAGAAAAAGAAAAGAGTGGGACACTAATCCAATAGGACTGATCTTTCCCCTGCCTGCCGCACACACACAAACACACACACACACACACACACACACACACACACACACACCAGATGAAAGGCCATGTGAAGTCATAGGAAGAAGGCCATCAAACCAAGAAGGTGTTTCATCAGGTAGAATTTATAAACAGCCCACTGCCATAGATTCTGGGGCATCATATCAACAAAAATAACAAACAATGAAGAAACTAGGAATTAAGCCTAGAATGAAAGAAGACAGAAGAAAATATCAGAAGTGAAAATTCATGGGCTGGGGGCATGGCTCAAGAGGTACAGCCCTTGCCTAGCATGTGCAAGGCCCTGGGTTCAATCCCCAGAACCTGAAAAAAAAAAAATCACTGAATAAAGGGCTAACAGAAAAGATATGGTCATCAGTCTTTAGAGTTGCCTTAAAATTTACTTGTGAGGCTTTCTTCAACTAAATTAGAGGAAGTGCAATTTCTTTATAGTTCCATATTGTGTCAACATGTTACCCCTACTATGTTATCTATGGAAAATGAATACAAGATTACAGTATGAATATATTCAACTCCATCCATACATTCATATATCCAATCCACCCATCCATGTACCCATCTATCCATTCAACTATGCATCCATCTTAAACATCCATCCATTCAATATTCCATCTATCATTCAATTTTCCACCTATCCATTTCTCAGCCATTCACCAAAAGTTTCTTGAATGTCCACTATATATCAAGCATTATGCAAGGCCTTGGTGGATATAGCTATAATTGTGAACAGACAAGCTCTGTTCTCTCAGAGATTATAGTCTATTGGGGAAGAAAAACACAATTCTACAGATGTTGAATAAGGGTTATGGCAGCTGAAGTATAGGGTGTTAGGGTATATGTTGGGGTCCCATCTTGTTCTTTTGTTAGTTCAACCATCCACAAGCACATCAACTAGCAGCTTGATAAGCTTGGTGAGCTTTCTTTGTGATTAGGCTGATTTGGTTGGTATTTATCACAACATACTTGGACAGCACTTATTGAAGTCTTTCAATGATGGCAGATCTTCATGGGGCATTCCTTTGGATGCTCAGAAACAGGAACCTGGGAGCCTGAAGGCCTGGTTCAGACATAAAGGAATGATAAGGCTAAGGAGAACCTTCAGCCTTATCACTCACCTCTCTCTCCCACTCTGACTAGCCTAGTTTTAGAATACTGAGTGATGCTTACTATGGCTGAATAATGCTCTCAAGTATTTTGAGTTTTCCCATGAAATTCCCAAGTTTCTGCCATGTGGTCAATGTTGAATATGGGTTTAATTAAACAGCAATTTAAAGGGGATGATGGTGTTACCCTCTTCATCTTTTAAGGAAGACTGAGGAGACTACCTACCATTTAGGGGCCTGTGTGTGGCAGGAATGCTCACTTGGGAACTATGTACTTTTGGATTAGTTGGGGGATTTTATGCATTGAAATAACAATAGTGGGAAAGGGAAACTATTTCAACCTCATGAAGAGCTTGGTTGTTCAAAGGAACAGCTAAGCCCTCTTCCCACTTCTGAAATGCCCTAATTCAAGAGTGTAACTCAGAATGTGGGGTTAACAAGTAGGTTTAGTAAGTGCACATGTATTCAGTTTTCAAAATCACCTAGTTTCAGAGTCCCCATGCAAGCAAAGATTCCACAGAAATATGCCTGAGTTTGGGGGTGCCTGAGTTTGGGGAGTGAGTAGGAGGCAGCAATACAGTTGTGCCACAGACAGAATTGCTGCTGGAAACCAGCCTTAGGTAAAAGTACAGATTGATGGAAGCCTAAGTGAAGGATCTGGCAGATTTGACTGAGTGAACACTATAGGCATTGGTTGTACTTGAACCTGGCAGACAAGGCTGGGCTGGGCTGGGCTGGGCTGGGCTGGGCTAGAAAGCTCAGCTGTGTCAGACCAGAGCTCTACCTTCCCCACACTGTCTACTACCCAGGGGGAGGTGTGGTGAAGGTGAAACCAGAACAGACTTGGAGGGGAAGCTTCCAGGGTGCCAGCCAGGACAGCATGTGTCTTTGAGCTCACTGCCCCTGCCTCATTTCCCCAATGCGGGTCTTATCCAGGCCTTTGGGACATTTATTAGGCCATGATCAAAAGCACAGTCATTGCTAAACTACACAGCTCCAAGGAAACCACACACAACACTCAAAGCTGGCCTTGTCAGGAAGGAAGGGCTTCAATCCCAGAAGAGGTCTCTCCTGCCTGCTTTCTGAGGCTCAAAGCCACATTAATGGTCGGCAATCATCAACGTGGAAAGAAGGTCAAAGCCCACGGTACAGGAGCGAGCCTGAGGCAAGTCTGTTCCATGAGGTAGTTTGTGGCCCTTGTGGGCTGCACAACTGCCCTCCAGCGGCTGCATCCAGGATGTTAGGATTGAGTAAGCACTGGGGGGATGGGCAAGGCCAGCTGGGAACAGAGTAGAACAACAGAGACAAAGAGCAAGGGGACAGGATGCAGAGAGTTTCCCAGGAGGACAAAATCACATCCTTGTCTAGCTCCGCAGCTAACAGTTATGTTGCCTTGAGCTCTGGGGGCCTCAGTGTTCCACTCCATAAAGGGAGGGAATGGATTTGATCTTTCCAGTCTCCCTATTACCTTCACAGGCTCACCTATGCTAAGATTCTTTCTGGGCCTCCTGCAGGGAGAGTCCAGGGGGGGCCTTGTTTCTTCTGGGAGCAGCAAATTGCCCCAGTTCAGTGTAGCTCCACATGAGAACCCCTTTACTTAATCAGTTTTCATGAGCAATTTGGCTAAAAATAAGGGGGTGACTAAGACATCAGTCTATGGTACACAATTCATCTTAAAAAAAAAAAATTTCCATCCCACCCCCCCAAATCTTTCAAGTGTTCTGTTAGCTTAATATGCTTTTTTGGCATTTCACTTCTCCAGGCTAACTATAATTTGCATTCACATTCTCCAGTTTTGACATCATTTGTCATTAATCCAGACTTTCATTTACATCATTCTGGCATCATAATCTGCCCTCTCAAATCACTCTAACAGCAGGGAAACAACTTGAAGCAATTACAAAGGTAAGAGGATAAAAATGTAATAAAACCTAATTCATGCACCATACTTGTTCAGTGTCAGCTTTGAGAACAAAGATACTTGTCTTCCAATCACTGAGGGTCTGTCTGCAATGCTTTTTCAAAGCGATGAAATAATTATTTTGGTTTTGATTAGAAAGATACCCTTAT